CTTATGTTTATTTTAATGGAGGTAAACATGTCATTTCGTTGGCACCAATAAAAAATTTAGCCACGAATAATCTTTTTTTAACTGGTTTCAGGAAATAAAAGCTTTCTTTTTTCCAAAATTTGAAACATTTATGATTACTGTTTTTTACTGAAATGGAAGCAAGTTTATATCTAATCACTTTACAGAGCTATTTGCAGATGAATTAGGGATGGGCCATCCCCTTTAATGTTAAATCGGTTAAGTACTCTTTAAGGTTTATGATTCTAATGAAACCATTCATTTGTGATTGCAATTTATTCTCTTTTGTAATAGGTGACCGTGAGATTCTAATTGATGAGCTTGAAAAAGCATGATTCTAACACAATTGACATAAAGAAGACTCTTTTGTTATTATCATTAAACAGAGAAATATTGGTTGTGGGCTTCAAAAAAGTTTGCCTTGGCCTCCTTTGGAAGGTGAAATAAATGAGAGAGTTTTATACGAGTTCCGGGACAAATTTTCAAAAGGCAGATGAAACAGTAGATAAGACACGAGGACTTTAAGATTTGATGTTTGAGATTTTCCATAGGCGCAATCCACTAAGTTTAATTACTCCAATAATGGGAGTTTACTTTTAATTAAGGCTTGTCATTAGGTGTCAAGTGTTCAAAATTAAAGTATAATAGCACCAAATTTTAATTTTACATTATGAAATTTATCACTCCGAGCTTACAGTTGATGGCAAGAGGAACGATCGTGAATCTTGTTGATATCTCATGGTTTCATTGTCTCAGACTCTCAATCTCTCATGGTCCTTGGTATATTTAGTGAGATAAGATAGTTGACCCAACTTGATAGAAGATCATTGTTAGCAGCCATGAGTTGTTTCGTCAAAGTGAATTTTGAGGACCTATGGTGATTATTTATCTGAGGGGATAAATTCAAATTGACATTTGCTCATAGAGGTCTTTATGCACTATCATGTATATTTTATGATTCACAACTCAAATTGACATAAAATTATTGGGGAACATCTGGGCTATAATCATAACTATAAATTACTAGAGCTTACTGGCCTTATCACTTTGTCAGTGGTATATAGTATTAACCTTTTTTTTTTTTCCTGAACCCTAGTAGTGAAACCATGTGAATAAAAGATTTGGGTCATGTCCTTACTAGTGAAGATTATCATAAGTGTGAATGCTATAGTATACATGACATGATATTCACTCTTTAGGAGTATTTGTTAGCCTTAAATTTGTAATTATTGACAAACAATTATGAGGGGTGAATGAGTATTACCTTAAACTTTAATGAAAGATTTCATTTAAATATTTTAAGATTTTTCTAATTTGAATTTTTTTTAGGACAGAACCTTTCAATTGAAATTCACCTTCAACATGACTATTATTGTGGAATTTAAAAAGTATTTATTATTATAATTTAAGAACATTATCATTTGAATGTTGTTAGAACATTAGTTACGTCTACTCCTGTCTTTGTAAAGAGGAGAATTGGATCGGCTTAGTGGAACTCAATGTTATCAATTCCAATTCTTATGAGAATGACTATTAGATTGGCTAAGGTGGGACGATTCCTTCTTGTAGATAAAGCGGCCCATTTGAGAGCATACATAACATAACAACTGCTTCTAGAGTATATGGGTGCATTTGAAGTGATGTGATTTTGGGATTATGTAAGTCTTGCATATTTATTATGTTTTTGTTGATTTTTGTAGTGTTTAGAGTCGTTTTTATTTTTTATTTATTTGTCACATTTTTAGTAGTTTTGATTTTGACAAAACTTTGATACATTAAAATTAAGATTATTATTTTTGAATAATGTATCTGGATTTGTTTTATATCGTTGACCTTATTAGTAATAATGTGAATATAAATAATAGAAAAATACACTTTACTGAACAAATCTCATGCTAATGTGTTGATGGACATCAAGATTATATAGTTGTTAAGTGGTTTAAACCATTTGGGCAAAAAACAAAAATTTTGGAATAATATTGTCATTTCTACTAGAGTCGTAGATGCCATCAAAGCATGTTGATGGTTAAAGAAAGAGATTGAAAGAATCATTTGGTAGGACTATATTTATTAACTCATTCAAAAGTATTTTGCTAAGACTGACACTAATCATATTGGGGGCATAACTAATAACTATGAAGCTTATTATAATCCTAAAAATTATCATTGGAGGATTATTAATATCCTCCTGCTCACCATCCCTAAAGAGCCAACATTGAAGAAACCACGTGCTAAGGGCTTGGCGATCCTTGTTACGAAAGATAATTGTTTTGATAATGAAAGTTTTGTTGATATCTAATTCTATTCTATATTTTTCATTTTGGACTAGGGCAAGAAGAAGCTTTAGCTAGTTACAAAATCGCTCTATGGATTTGATAACCAATTAGTGTGGATGGAAGAAACAATTACTCTCCCTGTCATAATTAAGGATTTTTCTAAACAAATATCCCCATGATTTAATTCATAATTGTTAATTTAGTGTCAGTTTATAATGCTGTCTCATATTCCTTTTAATCAATTTTTAGTGTTATTTTTTTTTAGCCCTACTTATTAATAACATTCACAATTTTTTGGGTTGATGTATATGAATAAATGGAATAATTATATTTTTGATATGTGCTAGAGAGTTCATAGCGGCAGAGTAATGAATAATCATTTCAGTGTTGTACAAGAATCCATCATACACTCAGATAATAAAAGTTACGTGTAGGGACAAAAACTTTTAACTTAAAGAACCCGATAAGGAAAAAGATCATGGGGCTAGCTCAGTCAGAATAATCCACTTTGAATTTGTGATCAGAATCATCTGACTGGAATACCTCATGTTGATAACATGCAAGAAAGGGGTCTCAAGACCAACAAGACCACAATCATATACTTATGATCAAAGATGATGCTGGCTCAAACCATACTTCCAAACTCATCCAGCTAGAATCATCATTAAGCATCTACTCAAATCAGTCTCACCAAGCCAGAACACTTTCTTCGACTTCTTAAATGGGCGGGAGAGTTCAACGAGTTCTATCTATCTTCTGTGCTCGAAACTGTCATCAAGGTTCATGTCATAACCAATTTCTTGACCAACCTTTCCAAGCCAAGCAATTCTGATGTGGAAGCGATGATCGAAAGCCATACTTAGGTCCTATATATTAATGATGTGTCAAGTTAAACTGGGCAAGGCTCATTCTCACTCTAAAAAATCGAACTGAAAACCATTTGTATCACTAGATAGAAGTGGAATTTAAACTCACAAATAATCAAACTGAGTATGAAGCTTTGATTGTCAAGTTACAATTCACTTACAAGATAGGTGTGCATCATCTCTTGGTAAATTTTGACTAATGTTAGCCAATCAAGTGAACGGGCAATTCAAAGCTAGAGATGAGATGATGACCAAATACCTCAGTAAAGCCAAAACATAGATAGAGAAAGAGATATTTGAAAGTTTCAAGATTGAACACATCTCCCGAGTAGACACCCATATAACAGACCTCCTATCCAACCGCATCAGATTCTCATTTGAATAACAATAGAGGAAGTCGCCGCGATGGAGCTGGAAGTCAAAGGATAAAAGAGTTGGATGGATAACTCATCATATTCCTTGAAACCGGGATGGTCTTGAAAGAATTAACTGACCCAAAACATCTCAAAATTAAAAGAACCCAATATCTTATGATCAAGGATAAATTTTTTTGGAGGTTAGCCACCATGATATACCTAAAATGCATCCAAGAAGATGAGGTAGAGGATGCCTTTCAAGAAATACAATTAAGAGAATGTAGAAACCATTCCAGATAGAAGACTTTAGTACACCAAGTACAATGATAGGGATATTTATGTTTGGCATTGCAAAAAGACGCTGAAGGATTCTCAAGGAGTGAACAATATCAAAAGTATGTACTATTACATCATCAGCTAGCTTATAAACC